TTCAATCTTTTCATGAATGTTTTTAACTAATCGGGATAGTTTACTTTAGCGAGTTCACTTTAACATGAAATTTAAAAAAAAGTTAAAATTCATAGCCGTTTCACTGTTTTAGTGTTACTTCCTTGCATACTATATGGAGTTTGTGAAAATATACTTTCTAATCATCAAGTTTTAGGCTAAATGGACGGTTTCTTTTATTTCATTAAAGCTATCACACCTAGCTATCACACCTATTAAAGAGAACATTCAAAAGAAAAGGCGCGAAGATTAACTCGTGGCATTTGGCGCGAATTTATGAATAGTGACTAGCTTTCATAATTCTAAGACAAAAGCACTGTTATACAGAGGTATATACAAGAAGATTTAGAGCAGAGGTCCCGACAGCTTACGTAATATTTAGCGCTTTGGATTATCATGCTGCCGACTTGGATTCAATCCCTCTTGCGTGTAATATTTTCTTTACCCTTTCAGCTAGATTTTACAAAGGTTTTCTTTTTTTTTCGGAATCGGACGGAAGACCTCTCGTTGCTCGCAACGAGATCGTATCTAGTTATTATTATTATTCTTTTTTTCTTACCGATTTTGTGCACGCAATTTCTCGGAAACGGCTCAATGGATTTCCATGAAACTTTCAGGACTTATGTAACATGACTTGAACCTTATGCATTTTTTTTCCGATTTGATGACGTCACTTCCGTTTTGGAGATATTGTCGATTTTATGATTTTTGAAGGGTCAGATTGTCTGCAGACTTTCTCAGTAATGGCTCTAGATAGAAAGATGAAACTTTCAGGTATGATAGACGAAAGTCTGTAGATATGCGTAACGTATTTCTTTTTTTCCGGAAGTGCAGTACGTCGGCGCTCGTTACGGTCCGACGAATGTCACCTCGCAAATTTCAAAAATTCTAACACCTTTTCTACGATATCTTATTACCTGGAAATATTTTGCCAAAACATATAAAACAAAAGAAGTGTAGAATTCAAAGATCTTTCAAATGATATCTCGAAAAAAGGGCTGGCCCCTAAATTTAAGGGCCTAGAGGGGCCGAAATTTTTTCCTTTATATCTAAAAAAGTATTGAGAATTTGTAATACGTCTAAGAAGCAAAGTTGTTCAAAATGTCAAGGTTAATCTACGTGCGTCGTCAAAATGCGTCCGGCGACGTCACTTCCGGTCAAACCGGAAGTAGTCGGAAAACGCGTATTTTTGCCGTTCTTGACAAGTTTTGGGGTAACATCTGTCTCTGGGAGCATAAAAATTAATATTCTGTCCGTCGTCGCCACTTCCAGCTAAACCGGAAGTAGCGCAAAATGGCGTATTATTGCATTAATTAACATAGATTTGGACGATTTCAACAATTTTTGGATGTATTTAGTAATTTTTTTAATGAAAGTCACTTCTGGTTACGTTACTTCCGGTCAAACAGGACGGAAGACCTACTCGTTGCTTTGCAACGAGCTTTGCTCTAGTTATTATGTTCCCCAAACAAAGTTGGGGAACATATTGTTTTTACTCTGTTTCTTATTATTATTATTTTTCTTCTTCTTCTTCCTGGGTACTTTTTTGTCCGGGAATGATCTTGTAAACTGTTCGTCTGATGTAGGTAAAACCTTTTTAGGGTAAGTAGACATGTTATGTAGATTTGCGGAATCAAGGTCATTTTGCGCGCACGTGCTTGCAAGAGCGCGCACGTGCAACACGTGAAATGACCAATATAATAGATATAGCCGCAACTTTTCTATTTTTTGATGAATTGCTTTGAAACTCATAATGTGAGGATATATTAGTAGTATAGACATGGCGACATGACCAAAATAGCAAGATCTCACGCGCATGCACGTGCGCTTCACTCTGATTGGCTGAAACAAAAATCTCAATATCTTTTTTGTTTATTGACGAAATGCTTTGAAATTTTGAACATAGCCATGCATTAGGATAGCCAACAACGTGATGTATAGCAATTATCATTAAAACACGTGCATGCACGTGCACTGCAATCTGATTGGCTTAAACTTTAAATAGCTATAACTCATTTGGTTTTCAACCAAAGAGGATGGGATTTGAAATATAGATAGATATTATGAACTACTACAAGAAGGTATGGTCACCATGCACATGGATACATTGCATGTACGTGCGCTGCAATCTGATTGGCTGAAACTTTTAACAGCTATAACTCCCTTGGTTTCCAACGAAACAGGATGGGATTTGAAACATAGATAGATATAATGGACTACTACAAGAAAGGTATGGTCACCATGCACATGCATACACATGCGTGTACGTGTGCTGCAATCTGATTGGCTGAAACTTTTAACAGGTATAACGCCCTTGGTTTTCAACCATATGGGGTGGGATTTAGAACATAGATAGATGTAATGGACTTCTACAAGAAGGTATGGTCACCGTGCTCATGTATGCACGTGCGTGCGTATTTTTTATTACTTTTGGATTAAATACTTTAATTTTTAGTATATTAAAATATATGGATTGTGAAGACAAAATGATATGGTCATTACGCACAGGCATTTGCATGCGCACGCATGCAATGCTAAAATTTGAATGAACTTCGTACACTTCCGGGTAAATGTTGTTAAAGTCTCAAATACATAGAATTTGTCTTATTAAATGAAGCTTACAGGTAATATGGCACAAAAAGAGAGTTGGGGAGCGTTTGGGGAACATCTGTAACGGTCCCCGTTACAATTAGCACTAGTTATTCTTTTTTTTCTTCTTTGTTCTCCGGTACTTTTTTGTCCGCGAGTGTTCTCAGAAACTGTTCACCCAACTAAGCTAAAACCTTTTTAGGGTTTATAGGTGTGTAGTGTAGGTGTGCGGAACGAAGGTCATTTTGCGCGCATACGCATGCACGTGCGTGCGCGTGATTTGAGTGAAATGACTGATATACTTAATATAGCCATAACTTTTACATTTTTTAATGAAATGATTTGAAACTTATTATATAAAGATATATTAATAGTGTAGATAATATGACACTGTCAAATTAGCACGAACTCACGCGCATGCACGTGCGCTTTGCTCTGATTGGCTGAAACAAAAATATCAATATCTTCTCTGTTTTTTGACGAAATGCGTTGAAATTTAAAACATAGGCATGCTTTAGGATATCCTACAATATGGTATGTGAGAGTTTTCATCAAATCACGCGCATGCACGTGCGCTGCAATCTGATTGGCTGAAACTTTAAATGGCTATAACTCCCTTGGTTTTCAACCAAACAGGATGGGATTCAGAACATAGATAGATATTATAGACTCCTACAAAAAGGGAATGGTCAACATGCACATGCATGCACGTGCGTGCACGTGAAATGAGTAAAATTCCAAATACACTAGATTAAACATATTTTTGGATTAAATGCGGTAATATTTAGTATATCAAAATATATCAATAGTGTAGACAAGATGATATGGTCATTACGCAAATGCATTCAAATGCGCATGCTTGCGATGCTGAAATTGAATACTTCTGGTAAAACTTTGTTAAAGTCTTAAATGTATCGCGTTTGTCTTATTTAATGAAGCTTACAGGGAATAAGGCACCAAAAGGGAGTTGGGGAGCGTTTGGGGAACATCTGTAACGGTTCCCGTTACAATTAGCCCTAGTTGAGGTTTGGTTTAATTTCTCAATGTGCATAATGGTAATGTTTACTGTCTCTGAAATTCTATTCTTTATATCTAGGCTATTTTATCCATGAATATAATAAAACATGCAAATTATATAGGCCTAAATCAAATTCAAGGGAGTACAGTTACTGATATATGTAGCTAAAATCAATGCGATTAAATTCTAAGGAATCGATACATTTAAAATTCATTGCAGCTCAATGCTGCCAACAATACCTTTATTGAGTAACACAGAGTGAGTTATTCTTGTCGTCGGAGAAAGTGTGCTTATGCTGAGGTTTGTTCCGCCTGACTAACAACTGTACATTGGATTGTTACGATTTGATATCTCTTTAGTTTTTCTTATATCAAGCATGGGCATGCATAAAGGATAGATAATTGAGGGAAAATACACAAGTCTATTAAAAAAATATTAAGATAGTCTTTGAAAAGGTGAAAATTTAAAAGTGTGGTACAAGGTGGATTCAAACCCCGACTTTAAAAAGTTAGTTTGCACGGTAAAATAGTCAGCACATGTATATCAACTGAACTAGTCTGACTATCAGGTTTAAAGGTAAAAATTTGAAGCAGATTATCAAAATCAGGTTTCCTTATTTTTTGTAGGTTTTTAGCTCACCTGAGCCGAAGGCTCAAGTGAGCTTTTGTGATCACACACATTTTCTTCGTCATACTTCTGCCTGTCTAGCTATCTGTCTGTCTGTCTAGCTGTCCGTCCGTCTGTACACTTTTCACATTTTCGACTTCTTCTCAAGAACCACTGGGCCAATTTTGACCAAACTTGGTGCAGAGCATCCTTGGGTAAAGGGAAATTTAAATTGTTAAAATGAAGGGCCAACTCCCCTCACAAGGGGAGATAATCAAGAAAAGACAAAAAGAAAAAAAATCTTCTTCTCAAGAACCACAGGGCCAGAAAAGCTGAAACTTATGTGGAAGCAGCCTGGTGTAGTGTAGATTCTAAATTGTTCAAATCATAACTGCAGGTGGTTGGGCGGGGCCACAATGGGGAATCAAAGTTTTACATAGAAATAAATAAACTTATGTGGAAGCATTCTGGGGTAGTGTAGGTTTCAAATTGACTGTCTAAATTATGATCAGTGGGTAGGGTGCGGTCACAATATGTATAACAAGGGGGGGGAATCTGCTAAAGAACAGAATGGTCAAAGCTTTTCAGGTGAGCAATGTGGCCCATGGGCCTCTTGTTTGTGAATTTCGACCCTAGGGCAGGGATGCCCCTAAAACAATCCTATCTTAAATTATTCCTTACATCCAAACCTGAAAATATCACAATTTATTTAGGGGCAGGCCTTATAATTTTTTTTTTTTAATTATTTTACCTTTACGTATTCTTTCAGATGGTAGATAAATGTATTGGTAACAACTTGGATGTCATTGTTGTCAACATTTTGCTGTGTCTTTATGACCTTGAAGATGACAAATTTATGAAAACTGCTGTCATCAGGTGAGCTTAGCATAAAATGCAAATATGTACAAAATAAATATAATAAAAAGGATAAAAAAAGTCACTTAAATATATTGCAGTAATGCAAGACTAGTATCATTTTGAGGAATGCTCTCATATACCTAGGGTCAATTATCTATATAATATGTATTGTTGAGGAAATTCAAACTATACTCATAACACTTTTTTCAGTGTGCAGTGTGTTAATTTTTAGTTTTTTAGTCTTCTGAGCCAAAGGCTCAAGGAGCTAATGCTATGGCCATTTGTGCGGTGTGTGTAAACTTTTTAGAATATGGGCCATAACTCAAGAACCCTTGGCCAATCAGTACCAAATTTGTCACAGGGTAACCTTGGCCCAAGGGCTTCCATTTATACTAAAATTAGGGTTGGGACCCTTAAACAAGGGGAGATAATCAGGAAAACAAAACCAAAAGTACTGGTTGCTATAAATCGTCTTCTCCATAACCACCAGGCAGATTTTCACCAAACTTACATACAAGGATCAGGATATGTCGAAGATTAAAATTTGCACGGGGAATTTTCCTGGGGCAAAGGGCGTGGTCTCAAGGTCACTTCAAAGTTGACCTAAATTTACAATTAATAAAAATGTGTATATTTTGCTTACTATAAGCACTAGGATCATCAAATTTTGTAAGTTGATGCATCTTACGACTTCACATCATGTTAACTCAAAAGTAGGTCACGGTGACCTACTTTTAAAATTTTGCGGAGATTTGTTTTCAAATTGATTTGAAGTAATATTTTGGACACTTTAAGGCCTATGATCACCAAACTTGGTCAGTTGATGCATCTTGCGTCCTTGAACAATGTCACCTTAAAAGTAGGTCACCGTGACCTACTTTTTGAACTTTATGACTTATCCTTTTAAAAACATTTAATCCCATTATTTCAGACACTGGGAGGTTTAGAATCATCAAATCTTGTACTTTGATGCATCTTGGGAGCTTAAAACATATTTATGAAAAAGTAGGTCACTGTGCCTACTTTTTGAATTTTGCCGACATTTGTTTTCAAATTGTTTAAAATGCATATTTTGATTACCTTCAGACCTACGATCATCAAACTTGGTCAGTAGCTGCATCTTGGGTCATTGAAAAATGTCGACCAAAATGTAGGTCACAATGACCTACTTTCGACATTTTATGACTATATTTAAGTATCTTAGGTATTCATTGTCTTAGAATCATCAAACTTTGTGAGTCGATGCATATTTGGTTTTCGGAGAGTGACGACCAAAAAGTAGGTCACTGTGACCTACTTTTGACATTTTATGGCTTTATTTAAGTATCTCCGGTACTTTTTGGCTTAAAATCATCAAACTTTGTGAGTTGATGCATCTTGGGTTTTCGGAGAGGACGACCAAAAAGTAGGTCATGGTGACCTACTTTTGACATTTTGTGGCTATAATTAAGTATCTCTGGTACTTATTGACCTAAAATCATCTAACTTTGTGAGTTGATGCATCTTGGGTTTTCGGAGATTGTCGACCAAAAAGTAGGTCACAGTGACCTACTTTTGACATATTTATGGCTATATTTAAGTATCTCAGGCACTTACTGGCTAAGAATCATCAAACTTTGTCAGTTGAGGCATCTTGGGTTTTCAGAGAATGTCGACCAAAAAGTAGGTCACGGTGACCTACTTTTGAATATCTCAGGTACATATTAGCTTAGAACCATCAAACTTTGTCAGTTTAGGCACCTTAGGTTTTCAGAGAACGTCGACCAAAAAGTAGGTCACTGTGACCTACTTTTGACATTTTATGGCTATATTTAATTATATCTGGTACTTATTGGCTCGGAATCATCAAACTTTGTCAGTTGAGGCATCTTAGGGTTTCATTGAATGTCCAATAAGAAGTAGGTCACGGTGACCTACTTTTGAATATCTCAGGTACTTATTGGCTTAGAATCATCAAACTTTGTCAGTTGATGCATCTTGGGTTTTCAGAGAATGTTGACCAAAATGTAGGTCATGGTGACTTACTTTTGAATATCTCAGGTACTTATTTAATTAGAATCATCAGTCTTTGTCAATTAATGTTTCTTGAGTCCTCAGAAAATTTCAATCAAAAGGTAGGTCACTGTGACCTACTTATGGTATTTTATAATTATATTATAATATCTTCAGTCTTAACTGGCTAAATATTATCAAACTTTGTAAGTTGATGAATTTTGGGTCTTATGATACTAATAGAGTTGGAGGCTTCTAATAGAAGTGATAGATTGAACAATTTATCAGAAGAGCGATTCAAGGCCCTTGGGCCTTTTGTTTGTAAACTTCTGCTTCATATACACCAGAATACACTGAATGCACTTTTTAGGTCACCTGAGTAAACTCAGGTGACCTATTGCTATCCGTTTTTGTCCGTCGTCGTCCGTCACGTTTTTTTTTCCGTCGTTGTCGTGCGTTAACATTTGAACATTTTCAGCTTCTTCTCTGAAACCACTGAACCAATTTCAACCAAATTTGGCATATAGCATCTGTGGGTGAATTTTGTTCAAAAATTTTGTATTTACGAATTTCCCACATTCCAACATCCGCCCCCCAGCTGGGGCCTGGGGGCGTGGGGCATTTGAAACCACTAAAAATAGTGCAATCTTTAAAAATCTTCTTCTTTTGTCCCGGACATCAAGCAGTCAAACTGTTGATGTGATTGTAATCAGCATTATGGTCAATGACCAAAATATATAAAACCATCATGGCCCCAGGATCGGGGGTTCTGGTGTTAGGGTGGGGCTTAACTAATTATTATATAGTCAAAATGCAGTAAGTCTTTAAAAATCTTCTTCTCTGCTCCTGGGTATTGAATAAACAAATTAAGTTCATAGTTATGATGAGCAAGAGTGCCTCTACCAAAATTGTGCACAACTCATGGCCCCAGGGTCAGGGGTTCTGGTGTTGGGGGTGGGGCCAATTGATTATATAGTGAAAATGCATTATTTCTTTGAAAATCTTCTTCTCTGCTCCTAGGTTTTAAATAAACTAACTAAGTACATAGTTATGCTGAGCAAGAGTGCCTCTACCAAAATTGTGAATTTTATGGCCCCAGGGTCAGGGGTTCTGGTGTTAGGGCGGGGCTTATATTGATTATATAATGAAAATGCATTAAATCTTTGAAAATCTTCTTCTCTGCTCCTAGGTATTAAATACACTAATTCAGTAAATAATTATGATGAGCAAGTGTGCCTCTACCAAAATTGTGAAATTTATGGCCCCAGGGTCAGGGGTTCTGGTGTTAGGGTGGGGCTCTATTGTTTATATAGTGAAAATGTATTAAATCTTTGAAAATCTTCTTCTCTGTTCCTAGGTTTTAAATAAACTAACTAAGTAAATAGTTATGATGAGCAAGAGTGCCTCTACCAAAATTGTGAAACTCATGGCCCCAGGGTCAGGGGTTCTGGTGTTAGGGCGGGGCTCTATTGATTATATAGTGAAAATGCATTAAATCTTTGAAAATCCTCTTCTCTGCTCCTAGGTTTTAAATAAACTAACTAAGTACATAGTTATGATGAGCAAGAGTGCCTCTACCAAAATTGTGAATTTTATGGCCCCAGGGTCAGGGGTTCTGGTGTTAGGGCGGGGCTCTAAATTGATTATATAGTGAAAAAATGCATTATTTCTTTGAAAATCTTCTTCTCTGCTCCTAGGTTTTAAATAAACTAACTAAGTACATAGTTATGTTGAGCAAGAGTGCCTCTTCCAAAATTGTGAATGCCTTAGCATCTAGCTTAAAACATGAAACAAATTCAATCATTTGAAAGTTGTTGCATGATGCTCAGGTGACCTATAAGGCCCGTGGGCCTCTTGTTGATTGACATATCCAACTGTATGCTAAAAAGAAACGAGGCTTGCAACTTTATTTGCCCCTTTCCATGCCTCCCACACGTTTTTTTTTTTTTTCCCTTTTAAAAGTTGTATGCACTGCTCACCAGCTGAATTATGAATCCCAAACCTCTCCAAAATTCTTATAAATGATAAAAATCCTCAGGTATTAACTTTTCATCCTTATATTATTATTAACAAATAATTTTTTCTCCAATTTTCTACCTATTTAGTTCATTTAATTTTGTATTTAGAGAATTGTAAATTTCAAGACCCCAAGTTGTACCAAAAGGGGGGCCAGGATATTAAAAATGACAGCTCTGTTTGAAAAGGATCAGAGTAGCTGCAAATCTGTAAAAGCGTTATGGTTTTATATATTTGACTGTGTGGATGCTAGAAAGTGGAGAAATTCTGTGTGGTAGCGGCACAAATTGCGCAAAAAACTATTGTGCCGTAAATTGCACCTTTTTTGCATTATGGGTTCTGAAGCATTATGGTCAATGACAAATATATAAAACCATAATGCTACAGACCTGCAGCAAGGATCAGAGTATATGCCAATTAAAGTTGTTAAAACTTAACTAATTACTGACAATATATTTTTTTTAACCTGTATCCTTAATCAAAGGAAATTAAAGTTTAATTTATAGAGGGGGGGGGGGGATTTCAAATTTTTACACTTGTGTTTAAGGATGTACAACACCTTAATCTCTAAAATATCCTGTTGTTTAATTTTCGCTTTTTTTTATATTTAATATAAGACTTTATCTACTGTGTGTATGCATATTCTGGACAAAATCCTTAGCGTGATTTTTGGACAGGAAATTCCAAAAGTTACCCTCCTTTAGTTGTTTACGAGGAGAGAAAATTTTTAATCAATGAACTACTTAAACCTTGATTTTCAAAAAAGCCAGGTTAGCCTAGCTGTCAAAGAAAGATTGCTCGTACGGGCCCTGGTAAAATGTGAAAAAATAAACAAACTAGGAGATTTATTGTTCATAGAACAATAAGAAGTCTTTCCACCTTCTCTGAATTTCAATTTTGTTTATATCTAACTCCTTAAATACCATTTAAAAGAAACCAAAAGTGGCTGAAAGGATAAAAATAAAATGAAAAATTTTAAAATGTTGAAATGACCTTGACCTTTGACCTTG